ACCGTGGAGGCCCAGGGTGGAGGAGAATATATCATCCGCTTCAACAGGATCCCATCGGTTGAGTTTGTTGTGCTTGTGAAGGGCCAGAACAACAACGGCGTCTCCAGAGCTTCTTCAGGGATCTTCCAGAGACAGTCGGCCACCAGCCTGAGAGCCTCTGGTCTCACTGTCACTGCTGTAAGCAAACCTAAGCAAAAGAAAATTTAAATCAATGGTCCAAAATCTTTTGTAAACAGTTCAATTCACACTACTGTCCACCATGTTTAAATTCCTCTTTTTGTTTTTGTACAGGATGACTTAAATACGGTGTTGGAGCCAGGAACACCTCGATCAGTTTCTTTCTCTGTGATGACAACTGGTGAAGGAGGAAGCTTCACCATTCGAGCCACCAATGACCAAGGCTTTACTTTATCTTTCCCCTCCAGTTTACAGCTGGATCCTGGAGTTAGTGCTAATGGCTCAGTGAGCATCACAGCTCCTGCCGACACTCCATCCGGTACTGGTGTCACCTTGACCATTGAGGCCGTGGCTCCTGGAGGTGCAGACAGCAACTATGATGTCCTGCGTCTAACCGTCCTTTCAAAAGTAATGTCTCATTTTGTTTTCTATGCATTCTGACATCATTGAGGGTAAATATTGCTAATATTTTCCTGTCACTCTCACAGGTGACTGATTTCACTCCACCAGTGTGCCAGCTGCTCAGCCTGCAGTCCAACTGCTCTGACAACTGCAGCCGGTCAACATGGGAGCTCTCTGTCCAGGTCACTGATGCAGCGAATGGGACGGGTGTGGACAGCGTCAGTCTCAGAGAAGGCATCGGCACGTTGAACATCAGCACAGCAGCTGATAATACAACTCTAGTGTCCTATGTGGCTTCCTGCTGCTCACCTGATGTGCAGCTGGTGACTGTGGATCAAGTAGGCAACGTGGAAATCTGCAGTTACTCTGTCCGCGCAAATGTCACTCAGGCTGTAACAACCAGCAATGTAACAACCAGTCCTGTAACAACCAGTCCTGTAACAACCAGCAATGTAACAACCAGCAATGTAACAACCAGTCCTGTAATAACCAGCAATGTAACAACCAGTCCTGTAACAACAGCTGTCACAGCTTCCTCTATAAGAGTTGATTTCTCCGGGTCTCTTTGCTTTGGTTTCTCAGTCCTGAGCTTCTTGCTACACTCTCTGAGACTGTGATCCTGAATTTTACAAAACAGATTACTGGTGATGGAAATGCAGTAAATATTATGTTCACTCTGGTGGCAGGTATTATATAATTCATACCTAATCAAATGTTTAAACACTTTTTGAAGCTAAATTAAGTCTAAGTTCTGCAGTTGAACATTAACAAAGTTTGGTGACAAATTAGTATCCTTGAAATTAATTGTTCTAATCTTTATGTACTCTTCATTAATTATCTTCTAAAATCAAGTTTTAAGAAAGTATGTAATTCCTGACAATAATTAAAATATAAAAACTGAGTTTTTACCAAAAAGTTGTTTTTTTTCTGCTTGAGTTCAGAAATGCCTCTACATGAAATAATTCAAAAAGCTCAAGTATTTAAGCCAACTCTAAATGTAGCACTCGAGAAAGAAATGTATTAAAACACTCAAAGGTGAATCCCAAAGTGATCAGATTTAGCAAAGAGGTGAGACTGAATCTTAAACAGGGAGATAAAAGTTACAAACAAATTTAAAAAAAACACTAAAGATTAAAATTTAATCTGCTTTAGTCTGTTATAAATTATGGAAATCCCTGCTCTGAATCTGCTGCTTTTTGAGTGACTGGTTAGTTTAAATTTTTACTTTTTATGTCTGATAAACTAGAAATTTTACTTCTGAAAATACCAAAGTCCAAACTTCATATGAAAGCACAAACATCTAAGATTAGGTAATAAGAAATGCAGCAATTGTTGCTGTTAGTTAGCACATGATCAGTTTATTCACAATGGCACCAAATATCCAAACTGTGGAGCCACATATACCTTCAAGGTTAGGATGTCAAAGAAGACATTTATATTTTATTTAAACAGACAAGAGCTGAAAAATCATTTGCACACTTATGTACACTGCTAATTGTGGTGTTTGTGTATCTTTTTCAAGGACAGTAGGATTTTTGAGACGACGTCTTTGTAATCTGAAAATCCCACAATATTTCTGATCAAAATCAAGTCTGTCTCACAAAGTGCTGTCTAGTTGGTGTATCTGTCAAAGGTATGAGCTCTAAATATTAAGTAGTTTATAAGTTAAACCCTCTAACTTTCAGGCTTTTATATTTGAAGTAAGAATGGTATGTTTTGGTTCACAGTATTACACAATACAAAAATGTATATATTAAAATAAAAAA